CATTCTATCCCATAGTGACCATATTTAAGGTTTTAGAGGGTGCATGGATGCCAATAGCTGAACGGCCTCACCCATCAGAGTTTGCTTAGGTTTCAACAAATATCATTAAATTAACTAACTCAATGAATCAACTAATCAATAAAAGGGGGCTGGAGGAATACCGGAAGGTGAAAACGGTCGATTGGCCGAAGGGTGAGTCACGGAGGCGACGACTGCCGATGCCTGCTGCCGCGCTCGGCTTCGTCAAGTCTGCGCCTTTTGTAAATTTTGGGCAATTGGGCCGGATACAATGCTAGGCTTCCTCGAGTCTAAATTACTGGGCCTGTAGAAAAATGTGGAAATATCCCGTTCAGTCTACTTTTCCCAATTTTATTTCAATTATGTCTCCAGCCTATTTACTTTTCATTTATAAACTTTTAACTTTTCAGTTCTAACTTATTTATTTCAAAAATAATCTTTCCCTTCGACACCGCTCCTTTCTCTTATGTTTTCCGTTTCTTCACATCATCTCCTCCACCATTTTTCCGCTGGCTGAATAGATTACCGCCTCTCAGCCAAGGCACGCCTATACTGGTATCGGTCGAGAGCTTTCGGGAAAGTTGAATCCAACGATACACATCCATGATCAATCCCTCAATATGCTTTATCCATCCCAGAAGAAGCTAGAGCAAAGAAATATGCCGTTGTCCCCTCAAGTTCGTTGTTGACTCGCACCGGTCAATCTGCTTAAATTCTATTCAATTCAATCTGTTTCACACAACTTGTTCATCAGATTTCAAGGTATTCTAGATTTCTATTAGTTAAGCACCGAGAAGAATTTGATTATAGGTTACACCTAAATTTGATTTTATGTTATACCTACTGCTGCAATATTAGATTTAGTTTTAGAATAAACCATACAAATATTTTGAATTCTGCCGCTAATAGACTATTTCTGGAGTTGCCTATTTGATTTTTTAGACACAACGTAAAGTGAATTTATAACTTGTAGATTTCTAAGGTTTCACTTTCCTGCAGCTCTTGCACATCATCATCGTGTTCTTCTTAAGTAGTTGTTGCTCTAATAGCTAGGATAGGTTTTTGTATGTGTTCTGCCATTGAAACATGGACTTTTGGATTAATGAGCTGGATCACTTCATGCTCCTTGAATATGTTCAACTCTTCTATGGCAGGAATGGAATTCACACCTATTCTCTTTAGTGTGCTTAGAAGCCTTTTCTCATCAGTTGTATTTGTCTTATGAGATGCATTCTTATTTCATCTAAATTTTTTTTTGGTTTTTTAAATGATAAGTTTGTTTTCTTCGTTTCATTCAAATAAACTAGTGTTTTGATGAGCTTGCTCAATTAAATTAGTTGTTATTTAGGAGATTTCCAACTAAGTAGGCCGATTAACAAAAATGTGGTAATTGAAGGAGCACTTATGAAGAGCGTCTTTCTCTATGATTCCATCTCAGTCCAACAGTTCCCATATTTTGCATTTGCTTGCAATGGTTCAATCTGCCCCTTGTTGCTGCTACCAAGTGCCTCTCCCTCTTTCCAGCCCATGCTTGAACTCTTGTGGCATAACTGCCAGTTCCAAATGATGCATTCAGGAATTCAGCCATTGCTTCCTCCGGAGAAATTGATTTGGAAGTCTTTAGACCTGAATCAAGTGAGCTCTTTTGCCCGAACGTACACCGATCCCATGATGTGATGCCCGTCTCCCTGCAGCTCTATCTCTATACTCATGACCTCTGCTCTTACTAAAAGCACTGATCTGCTCAGACTTCAAACAAATATCCTTCTGACCCACAACACCAGCAGGTGCTTTTGAGTCACATCCCTGGCTAGATGTAGTATCTGCTCTGACTAGCCCTTCCATTACAATAAAACGTGATGTTCCTCTCCCGCCTTCCCCCAACGACACCCTCCAGACTCTCCGTCTTTGTGGCTCCGCCCTTCATCCTCCGCCCCTGCTTGCTCAGCTGCTTCGGTATGTATTTAATCACTATATCTTCTATTTACTTACTGCATAGAGTATATCCATAAAGATTGCACAATCAATTGAAGCAAGAAATAATTTTATTAAGAAATTTGGTTCCCCGTCCATATGCTCTGTGTTCAGGTTTGAAGGGAATTGGATGCCCCTACGGACGAAGAGAGCACTCTAACCTCAATCTTTGAAAATGTTAAATATGCTATCCTCCCATTCACCAGGATCCCTTTGCTATATTTTTCCCCTTGTAATAATTGATTTTATATTTGTGTTATATTGATTGCATGCTTATTACAGGTGCATAAGAGATGTACAACGCCGAAGATTATAGTTACAGGCGCATAAGAGATGTACAACGCCAAAGATTATAGTTTCATGTGCATAAGAGATGTACAATACCGAAGATTATAATCAGATTAAGAAGTTCAAATAGGAAATGAGGACACGCGAGACAAACTTGATGGGTTCCGCGATAAGATGCATCCAATGAAGAAGAGAGTGATCAAGCAAAGCCAAATAATACAATAGATAGGTGTAATAAATTAAATAATCGATTGAATTATATATTAAAAGTGATACATTTTTATGTTGTTTTTTGTTTCTTTTTGTTGTATCGAATGTGTTACTTTTTGTTGCATTGTGTTTCTTTTTGTTGTATCATGTTGCTTTTTGTTGCAATATGTTGCTCATTGTCATTTATTGTTGATTTCGTTTTTTTATGTTTAATATTTAGATTTCTCTTCATCTTTGTTACTTCCTGGAAATAATTTTTGTTATGGATTTGTATGCAAACAACTAAATCATAAATTTGGATTCATGAATGTAAAAACAAATAGAAACATAAAGAAACAATAAAAAACAAAAATGTAAGTGTTATCAACAAAAAGAAACACAAAGAAACAAAATCGAACAACAAATAATAATAAGAATATTACCTAAAAAGGTTAAGTACATTAGGAAAACTTGTATTGAAAAAATTCATTTTCAATTGTTTGATTTTTTTGTGTGTTCATTATGTTTTTTTTTCATATTTGTATTCTTTGAGTTTATTTTGAATTTACACACTTTTAGGTTACATTAACTTCTGGTTTTTAATAATTTTATTTGTGAATTTATATTTTTTCATTATATACATTTTAACTTAAACTTTTAGAACTTTTTTCAAATTTTATGTACTTATTTGGTACAATATTATTTATATTATAGGCATATTTTTATTTTTTAGACATTTTCTACATTTTCAAAAAAATTGTGAGTTTTTACATTTTTGTTTTGGAGTTTTGTATTTTAAAAAATTTAATTGGATTTTTTATTTGTATTTTAATTGTTTGGCACGTTTTTAAGTTTGTAAGTATTCATTCACAATATTTTGATCTTTTAATGTTTCGTATGTTTGTAAAAATTTCATTTCACACATTTTAAATATTTATATTTCATTTCTGTAATTTTTACTTGGATTTACTTTTTCAGTTTTATATCTCTTTCACAATTAAAATAAATACATTTTGTTTGATAATTTTAAATTGTCTTTAATTATTAGGTTTACTTAGATTTGTCAATACTTCAGTAAAAGGGAAAAGGAAAAATGGAAATATGTAAAATAGAGAAACATTATACTGGGTATTTTATTATTTCTGAATTGGTTTAGAGTTTTGTGAAGAAGCAATTTGATAGAATTCTCTAAAGAATCAGTTTGAACTCCAGCCATGTTTTTCCACCTTCGAAGCTACGAGCCTACGACCTTCTATGTTTTTTCTTCTTCTGGCAAACATCAGGCCGTTAGTTGTACATGTGGTCTATTTATGAAAGTGGAACATTGACTCCGCTAATTTTGAAAGAAATAGTGAGAGACGACAAAAGTGATATTATTCTACCTTTTAAGTCCATTTGTGAAATTTTCCCAAATAGACATAAAAAGTAAAATTATATCACTTTTATCACCTCTCAGTATTTCTTTCAAATTTAGCCAAGTTAAAGTTTAGCTTTCATAATTAGACCACATGTACAATTAAAGGCCTGATGCCTACCGGAAGAAGAAAAACAAAGAAGGCCGTAGCTCGTAGGCCTGCAGGTTGCAACGGCAAAAAGAAGATGGTGAAGCACCGCCAAAGTAGCTTCTAAGGTGGAAAAACAAGGCCAGGTTTCAAATTCGTTGTCTAACAATTACTTCTTCAGGAATCAGATTTCCCATGTAGCAAAACAAAGCATAGCATTTATTTTAAAACTCTAAAGCAATTCAGAAATACGTAGTAATAAATACTCCGTATAATGTATCTCTATTTTACGTATTTCCATATTTTCCCTTTCCCTTTTATTGAAAATTGTACAAAAATGAAAAACAAATTACTCTAAAATATTTCTAATTGAGAATTAAATGAAAAACGATTAGACTAATTAAATTGAATATAAATTTAAAAAATTAGAATATTTATCAAGAATATTGTTGATAAATACGTGCATAAAATATTACCAGAGACATAATTCAAAAATGTTAAAAATGTGAAATAGATAAAATATAACAAAATAAAAAATATAATAAATTTCACGAAATACAAAATATAACTTTTGAAAATAATTTTAATTAAACTAGTCACATTTTTATTTTTTAAAAGTTAAATTATTTAAAGTTGTAAATAATTAATTTAAAACAGTTATTACTATCATTGTTGGTTTTATGTTGCCTTTTGTTGCATTATTTTTTATATGGCTACTTTTTGTTTCCTTTTGTTTATTTTTGTTGATGAATTTTCATATTTTGTTTCTTATTGTTTTTTCATTCTTGTGTTTTTATTATATGCAATTTTGTCACTACACACACATGTATAGAGTGTATTTGCACCAAAATAGAAAAAAAAACTGGAAACATGAATATAAAAAATAAGAAAAATAATAAAAATCAAACATTGATCAAAATCAACAAAAGGCAACAAGATGCAATAAAAAGCAACAGAAAACAACAAAATGCAACAAAAAGCAACACAATAAAACAAAGAGAAACAAAAAGGAAAAAACCATATACAATACACACATTTAAATTCGTTTTTTCATACTCATGATTAGAATGACAGTTATCATTATGTAATACAGTATATAGGAGTGTACAGACAAGATCCTTTTCTAATATACATTTACAAATAACCTATAAGCAGACTTGGAGAGTACATATATAGCACTTCTTAGCTAAATTTCTTTCTATATACTTCGTATACATTATGTTATCATATATAGTACTTCGTGTAAGCAGGCTTGCAGAGTACATGAATTACAAATGTCTTTAACAGCATTTATTTCAGCACATCCTAGCTAAATCCCTTGAATAAAGATCAATTAGATCGGTTTCCAGAGATGCAAATCTCAAGCTTACTATTTTCCAGATGCATATACTCATTACAAGGGAGTGGAGGAGTTTCCCTCAATTTCAGCACATATGTAGTTAATTGAGCAACCTGCAACACTTGAATGACCAGTACATCCAAATATGCATAGCAGGATAAACACCACACTGATAAATCACTACTGTTAAGCACTATGGGGCGATTCATCCGTTGATGGTGCTCCACCATGTGTTTGTTCACGAATTGGCTGCAGAACACTTGCTTTGCAGCTCAGGCATAGGTCATTGAGTCATTCTCGCTCGGATGTTGGCACTCGTTGCTGGGAGTGACAACAATGGGATGTGAGCCAGGTGAGGATAATGAAGCGAGGCGATCATAGTGAGTTCATGGCTTCTCTGATCAGGGACTGAAATGAGCATTACACATATAGGGCCTACCAAATGAAAGTTGGTTTTGTATATTAGTCATTATATCCTTAGGTCAATAGTCATGTCTTACTATTGTAATTTATCCTAAAAAAATTGGCAGAAGAAAACACATTCCCCTTTGGATTTGGTATTTTGTAATGATTTGACTCTATTTTAGGTTCTTAGTTGGCCTAGAAACCAAAAGTTGAAAGACAGTAGTATACCACTTGCAGATGATGTTTGGTTTGGTCTTTGCCTTCAAAGCTTCAGCAAGCTCAACCTATAACTCCTTCCAATGCCTTTCCACTAGTCGCAATTTCATTAAAAAGTGGAAACATGTTTCCACGATCTTCATCTGTCTTTAAAAAGAGAAAAAAGATCAGCCGACATTATATAGTGGAGTACATAGAAGATAAAAAAAGGTCAATTTCATAAGCCAGTAAAAAAGAAAGTATATACTAAGTATACCATTTGTAGTTGTTTGAGTTCTTCAATGACGAGTGCTTTCTCATTTAAGGACTTTTCTTAAATTAAGCAATTAAGCATTAAAAGTGGCTTCATCTTTTCTGTAGCACAAATACTTTTTACAGTTAAAATACTTCCTAAAATATTAATGTTTACTCCTGTTGCCTATGACATTTTTGCAGGAACTCAAAGTTCATCCTCAGCAAAGCTTCTATTAGCTTCCAGATTTTGCAAGGTTTTCTCTATGAAGATTTTTATCTTCATATTAAAGTTCTATTTGAATACTCAAATTGCAGAGCACATTTGAAGGATGAATTGAAAATTGGTTTCAGGACCTATTGTAAATTAATTTTAAGAACATTTGAATAGAATCTCCCCCAAATCACAATCTATCAAAACAACCTTATAATCAAGCAATCCAACTGTAAACTCCCTAGGAATTCAAATTACTTTATAGCAATATCAATGAGCGTAGGTTTGATAGAATTTACGTAGGAGAGGAAATACAAAACATATAGATATCTCATGAACTTATTCTTCAAAATCGGGATGTAGGGCTCGATATCTAGGTAAAGCTCTCGCCTGGACGTCCGCGGAAATCAACTCTCGGATCTGCATCGAAAAACCATAGAAGCCGCACTCTGTTCCCAGCCTGGAGGCCATCGGATTGATCACCTGGATGCCAGACGATGCTGAGGTGAAGAATTCGAAAACAGCTCCTGACGACTCTCAATCCTGGCCACGGAATCTCCTTCTCTGAGAAGAGATCGGGAAGTCGTCGCCCGCTCTCGAGGTTGTGGAAGAGAAGGGTTGCTTGAGAGAGAATCGAGATTGGAAGTCGATGAAGAAAATAGAGAATGAAATAAAAAAGATTTAAAAAAAGATTTAAGTTCAGACTATTTCTGAAATAAAAAAGATTTAAAAAAACAGATCTGAAAACGTGAAAATAAATAGATGAAAGAACAAAAACATTGTGACATAAATGAAATGCTAGTACTAAAAGTGGTTCAATCCGGTAATTTCCACTTATCAGCTTATTCACACTTACCAATAAGGATGTTTTTAGTTGGACTATTTTCAGTCCAGACCATATCAAACTAGACCAGATCAAACCATTTCAGACCATATATACTTGGATAGTTATAAAATATTCAAAGAAATTAATTATAGAATACACTTCGTATTATATATCTGAGTGCATAATGATGCGATAATCGAGAAAAAATTCAAATACACATTTATTAACAAACTAAATTCAAATGAACAACAATCAAACTAAGCAAAAGGCATTTTCATTCGATTTTAATTATAACTAAATGCACCAGCCAAAATTACTTGAGATCTCAGAGACCTTGAAAAACTTTTTTTTTTCGTTGCTTGAATGTCTGTCTTCATTTGAAATTAAAATTTTAAACCTATTCACATTGTTACTAAAAATGGGGGTTTCAAATAACAAACTGTTGTAGGGAGAATTGTGCGTAGAGTTTCATTACCATACGCCCCTATTAATAGGGATAGAAATCATAGAATAGAGTTTACAAGTACGGGCCAACACACCCAGAATACATAGTTTACATATATAACGACCTTAATACATATTCTATATAAACGATAGCACACTACATAGAATTTCATTCAACACTCCCCCTTGTGCTGAGTTGTAGATAGATTTTGGTATTTGTCTTGTTGTCTCGTCAAAACCTCTGTCAAGTAACAAAAATCATGTCAGAAAAATAACCTTGAACTGAGAAAAAGAGTATAGCATCACGACAAATTTCTTTCATTAAGTCTATCTTTATTTGATCCTTGCTTTGATCAATAAGTCGTATATGCATTGTTACCTCATTAAAAACCCAATGGGAAAAATAAAATTTGATTAAAGGAAAGGAGAGTAACGACACTAACGTGATGTAGGTGGTACCCCCCCTCAAGTTTACATTCATCCTTAATATTTACATTAATCAAGAATGTTTGGAAGTCTAATCATTCCAGTGTTTGTCACATTAATTACCTCAGCGAAGACACACAAATAGGGGAATATAATTCCTTTAATTCTACCCCTGTGTGCCCAGCGTAAGGTGATCAGCGTAAAAATAATTAACTTGTTAAAACGATGCCAATGAACAAAACTTAATGGGAAAAATAAACATTGGTCAGATGAAAAGGAAATATGATGCATTAATAACTACACGTCAATTACTTTTGACTGCGATATAGTAATTATGTTCTTTCTTCAACATTCTTTTACTTTTTCAAAATTAAAATGTGGGATGGTGCATATTATGTTGTCTCATTAAAACATTACCATGTAACAAAACTCAATGGGAAAAAGTAAACCTTGGTCAAAAGGAAAAAAGAGTTAACACACCAATATAGCTGGTGATAAATGTGTAAGGGCCCCCTGAGTGCAACACATCAATAAGAATCCAACATCTACTTGATATATACTTTTATCAAGTTATTCCGTACATAACATGATTTCTTTCACGATAAATATATATATATATATATATATATATATATATATACTAATTTAAGAAAATATCAATGAGGTAAAGGGATATCCAATATCGGTAAAACTCAAATCACATTACTTTGTGTTAGAATGATACTTTTGACATTTCCAATTCCTTAAGGAAATTATCATCAATCATTTAATTCAATTTATAAGGGGTGAATAAAGATTTTACCCATGGTTTCTTATAGATATCAAAGCACATTCTTGATACCATTCCAATAACGATATACGATGTGTTGGTCCAGAGCTATTTTCATCTAACACGTTCTTGAGAATGTAATATTTGGTTGAATATGTTTGTCAAAGCACAATCATGCGCATATTGCACTTACAAAGGGAATTTCTTCTCCCAACAACTTTTTTATGATGGATCTGTTCTAGTATCCATATTTTGACCAATCATGGGAGTGCTAACAGTTTTTATCCATGTTAATTTACCTGAGAATCCTTTTGTATATATGTAACTAGTGAATTAGCATTCAACCAACTCGGTGTTTAATTTCAAAACAGACTCGGGTTTCCCAAGATCCCTTATCTCAATTACAGCTTTCAATTATCTAAGATTTCTCATATTTCATTATGCGTACATATTATGTCCCTGTCTTTGACATACAATGATACTTGGAAATTTGGAGCTGCTTCATTTATAAATGTGCAAGGTATAATCTGTCATTTTCTATCCCATCTCAATCTAGTGATTACTTATAGGGTATGTCACTTCTGTTTGGATTGATCTAGTCCAACACTGAACGATTCAATATAATTGTACTATGTGATTTAGGATCACTTGATTTGAGATAATAAAAGCATAACAAATGTTTCAAATGCATCTCTTAAATGAGATTCTATTGAGACATTTGGTGACACAGGTTTTTTGGCTACGTCTCCATTACTTTGGAGGCTACTTATAGATCAAGTAGTTGAACATCTTTGTGTTCAAAATAGAGAAGTATAACTTTTCATATTTGAATCCAGGGCGTTGTGAGAATAATTAGGACCCTCATTATCTCAATACGCTTTCTAACAAAGAATGATTTTATGTCCTATAGGAGATGCAAGCATGCTTAACTTTGGAGTTCTTGGGTGATGAGCTCCCTTAAAATGAGATGCACCTCTGTTAGTATGAGTAATACTATTAATCCATTTAAATTAAATCTCAAGTGTTACAATCACCCCCACTTAGGATTGTAGCGTCCTTGTTGCGTCCATAAGCTAATTCAATCTCAATCATATCCCAGAATCTTCCCTTGTTAAGTGCCCGCCCGATATCCAACGGGTCAACACACGGTCGCAGGGTTGCTCTGATACCACCTGTAACACCCCGACCCCGCAGGACCCGAGGTAGTTACTCCGAACCTCTAGTGTTGTCCTCACAAACCACCACGAGCCTTTACCGCGCACTTTGTCCTCACTCGTGCGCGCCCTGAGAAACTTGTCAGGGGTCACCTATCCCAAGACTACTCTCGTGCAAGCACACTTAACTTTGGAGTTCTTGGGTGATGAGCTCCCTTAAAAGGATATGCACATCTGTTGGTATGAGTAATACCATTAATCCATTTAAATTAAATCTCAAGTGTTACAGATTACTTGTACGCATTTAGGCCAATATTCTCATTGCATTCATATAGTAATACAGTATGGTTCGATATCATCGTGCTTTATACTCATTTGAGCAACCGTATAAATATATCGTCAGTATAAGTGTAAGGTCTATCATTAGACTTAGACACACTCTCATTAACATTGAGATTTTAATTCTCTGGAATCATTTGAACTTCGGGGCATCCCCCATTAATATTGATTCATGGACATGTTTAATCAGAGATAATCTCATGAGAGGAATTCATATGGTGACAGATATATTATTTTGTGCCTTATCTACCCTATTTTAGTTGGTGTGGATAATTAATCGAACCATGTGGCTTCCTTCTATTCCTTTAGAGAGCCACGACCTCAACCACAACCCACTACTTGTGGTTGCAATGTTTCTTCCTTTAGCATTGTGTCTTTTAGTTTAGATTCAAGCCATACACATACATTTGCAGCTAATGTATATAATCTGATCACCTGAATCGTTTATGGCATTTGATAAACACTGTTACTTCAATGTCACATTTTGACGTCTAAGATTTATTGTTGAGACATAGTAGTGGTGTACCATCATAATGATTCATGTCATTTAATTAGAGAATTCTTTTTCTTATATCCCCCTAATGGCAAGAAAATCAATTGTCTCATCAAATGATACCCCGCAAAGCAATGTACACATTATTTGTTAAGGCTAATAGCGGTTTATTGTTGGGATTCATATCCAACAAAAATAACATTTGTCTTTTAAAACCGATTATAGTACGATGTGGGAGGCACAATAGGCACAATTATTTAACAACCACACATGTGTAAACATAACATCTCAGGCTAAGATCAAGTCACCAACTGGTATACATAAAAGTGGTCGTCTCGTAGCGGTCTAAAAAACAAATGTGTAAAAGTGCTTGCATTATTGCATAATCCCATGATAATAGTTATATATTAGTGTGCGCATAATAGATGTAATATTCAACATCTACATCCTTTGAGATGTGATTTTTACTTAGACCTAAGTTTCAAATGGGATGCAAGATGCTTTTCATTGATCTCGACAAATTAAATATGCAATACTCATCAAGTACTTTCGATGTGAACTTATAGTGGTAACAAAATTTATAGACTTGATTGATCAGGTGGTTAGCCCTTTAATGAATAAGTTTTGCTAGAAGTTTTGCAAATACAATTTCTTCATGTGACCAGAAAATAGAAAGCATGGGAAAATTCCTACTGAACCATAATTACTAAAATGACCCGCATTTTTGGTAGGTAAATTCTCATGTGTCACATTATACATTAAAAATGAGATATCTTTATTTTATATCATAAGCATAGACAAGTCTCTGTTATTGCCAAGGAGCAGACTTTGAAAAATAACTGATGTGCCTACTATTATATTTGTAAGGTATAATGGAAAGTGAATACATCTTCTTGTACATTAGATGATGTGTATTGGTTTGCTATTTAGCAATGTTAAAATAAACAACTTACCTGGTTTTGGATCCCTTTGTATCTTTTAATCAAATTATTAATAATGAGTTCGTTATTTCAAAATTTGTATGAGTCAATACTTATTTCGACTCATATATTTCTTAAACATGCCTTTTCTTTTGCATTCAGTAAATGTAATATAGTATTTTCTATCTCATTTTTTATCGAATTTCTATGTGAAAACTCATCGAGGGTAGTCTCATTGACATTGATGTACCCACAAGTGAGGGTTCGAGGGAAGCCCCACAAGGGTGTAAAAAGGGAAACTCTTTCTTGTTACTTCGACAAGAGTTCACTCA